TGTCATCTTTCCCGTCGTTGTTGTTGTCATCATCAGGGGGACCCGAACCCAACCAATCTAGCTTCTTTGCATCCTCTGGCCCCGTTATGCTCGCGTCGTGCCTGAAAGCAATGCCGCAGGGCGCCCATTGAGGTATGTAGTTGGGGTACTATCCGAACGTAGCGGTCGCCTTCCCTAGCCTCTCTGTGACAACATTCTTAGCGAGGACGACGGATCGTCGATGATCGAAGGAGCGATGCATGGCCGCGACGAGTGTGGGCGTCGCCACGAGGTCCGCGAAGTAGAAAGCCTCATAGTGGCTGTGCGGATCGTTTCCCGCCATGCGCATTATCCACATGCACGCCGCCAACAACAGCCTGAAGCAATCAGCCATCTGAGAAAGACGACCATGCGAGATGAACTCACCGTCGATGAGCGCCCCCATTTGCACGGCCGCGCGGAATGCATACGCGACGTGGATGACGGTGGACTCCTAGAGCGCCACCATGTCGTCGTCCTCTGGTCTGTCCTCGACGTTGGCGTCGGCGAACCAAAGCGGTAGGTCCATGGACAGATCTATCGTGTGCACGCAAATCGCCGGACTGACAACCTCGCACCACTCCTCGTCGTACCACATGGCACGCGCAATGTCCGTCGCAAAGGATTCCAGCGAGTACTAGGAAGCCACATGGTATCCCCTTGGCCGATTTCCGGACTTGAATACCCATCCGTGCAAGATGCGCAGAGCAACGTTCTCCACTGCCGCCGCACGGGAGATTGCTTGCTGCAGCTGTTATTGGTCGACGATCCTGGCCACGCGCGTGCTGGCTTTGGGCAGAACGACGCTCCAAGGGACGTCAGGCACTGGAAGTCCGTTGGCGATGGCGACGAAGTAGTCTTTCATTTCGTGGACGATGTTGTATAGTCTTCGTCCCTCCCCCGTCGTCCAGAAAGCTTTGTCATCGACCCAAAGGACGGCACGATCAATGAGGTCTTTTGTCATGATACTCCTCCGTGGCCGGCTTAAACCGGCCTCGCCTGCCTCCCGCTCGACTTTCCTCTCGCCACGCGCCTCCTCTCTCGCCGTCGCCACAACTGCTGCCTCCTCCCTCCCAGTCGCTACGGCGGTCACATTGCCTGAACCGCCCGCCCCCACAGCACCTGCCACCTGGGCACCAACTGCGCGCGCATGTGCCACGACTTCCCCCCCGCCACCACGTTGGATGGACCCTCCATCACCAGCGTCGTTGCGCTGACGTGGCTGAGACGGCGTGGCAGGCAGCCTGCCCAAGACTGGCCTTTCGTTTGTAGCAACCCGCATGACCACCTCCGGCGGTGGGGTCGTCGTCGTACGAATGCGAATGCGGCGTCTCTCCAAGGGCTCGTCATCATCGCCGCCAAGATCGACGATGGGAGCCTTCTCTGTCCGCGTTTCACGGCCACGCAGTTGCTGCGCCTCGTGTGGAGGGGTCTGCATCCTCGTCGAAGCGGTGCGATCAGAAGAGTGTTGCCGATCGCTCTCGCGTACTTCAGACGTTATCGCCTCCGCCTGCTCCTCCTCCGTCGTGAACTCATCGTCACAGTCCCCTTCCGCTTCCTCCGCCCAACCTTGCGCTCCACGACCACACACCCTTCGCAATGCATCTTCCGTACGCACCCTCTTCGCTTTCGGGGCCTGCCGCCGCCCTCTTCCCTGCCCTTGGTTATCGTCGACGACCACGTCGCGCTTCTTCCCACGGGTGTTCCCTCTCGTAGACATGTTTCGTGGCGACCTTTGCAGGCGAGCTTGGCAGTGTGATCGGACGAGCGGGAAGTGTGGCCGACCTGGCGAAAAATATGTCTCCCGTGAAAAAGGTCTCCCGTGCGGCTGTGGCGTGACGACAACGACGTGCACGTGGCAGACAGATGATCTATTCTCTGGGGGAAGAAGACGTGACGACGACGGACATCCATGCGACGCAGTAGATCTCTCCTCCGCGGGACGAAGACGACGACATGCACGTGGCACACAGGAGATCTGTCAACTGCAGGAAGAACACGTGATGATGACGAACACCCCCGCGACGCAGGAGATCAGTCCTCCGCGGGAAGAAGACGACGACGTGCGCGTGGTTCACAGAAGGACGAAGACCACAGAGAGAGTAATCCGCATTGAGAAGACGAGCGGCGAGAAGAATACAAGAGCGACGATCACAATGATCCGCGGCGACCAGGCTTGCAGCACCTTGTCGTTGTTGCGGGCGGTTTGCAGCAGGCGCGACGGGCTTCTGTACTGGAGACACCTTCGAGGCGTGGACGACGTACAGACGGGTTGGGATGAACAAGACTGAAGTAGTCTTTCGGAGATGGACCTCCCGCGACGTCGCTTCTTTCTGGCGGGAAATGACATCGTCCACAGTGGCACGTGCGACCGCCCTGCCCGCACTGCCGTGTGTTTTCCATCCCCCCCGAAGGCGCGAAAAGACCCTTCGACGTCCCTGGCGGCGGGCGTCAATTAAGTCGCCAGGGACCGAACCCCTGCCCGCCCCATCGCGTCCCCCCCGTCGCAGCCACCAAACACCCCCGCACCCCAAGCCCTCCCCCCCCCCCCCCCCCCCCACCCCGACAACAACGCTGCCAGCGGGCCTGGAGGCGGTAAGCGGAAGAATGCGCGTCAACAGGCATTGGAGTCGATTGCTGATGTCATGGACCTCCATGGCGAACTGATGTCGTCGACGATCGAATCATCTAGCAAGCGGCAATGTAGCATATTCACGAGGCAATGCGACATACTAGAGCAGGAAGTTGCAGTCCAGAAAGCGCATTACGCAGCATCCGATGAGACACAGAGGATGATGTGCCACGCGCTTATGGAGATCGCTGCCGCCATCCGTGGTCGGTCGGCGACGTAGGGTGCATGGTGTGTGTGTGATAGTGAGTGTCAGTGTGTGCGGGTGTCCTCCACACAGTTGTATGGGTAGTTGCGTTTATTTATGTATTTTTTCGTCATCATTTTGGACGGCAGTGCATCATCTGCGTTTTCATGGCTCGTCAACCAGACAGCCGNCCGAAACCTCAAACCCCATTCCACACACAGTTGTCTGGTTGACGAGCCATGAAAACGCAAACGATGCACTGCCGTCCAAAATGATGACGAAAAAAAAAACACAAAAAAAAACACAACTACCCATACAACTGTGTGGAGGACACCCGCACACACTGACACTCACTATCACACACACACCATGCACCTTACATCGCGGACCGACCACGAATGGCGGCAGCGATCTCCATAGGCATGTGGCACATCATCCTCTGCGTCTCATCGGACGCCGCATAGTGCGCTTTCTGGACTGCAACTTCCTGCTCTAGTATGTCGTATTGCCTCGTGAATATGCTGCATTGCCGCTTGCTAGATGATTCGATCGTCGACGACATCAGTTCGCCATGGCGGTCCATGACATCAGCAATCGACTGCAACGCCTGTTGACGAGCATTCTTCCGCTTACCGCCTCCAGCCCCGCTGGCAGCGTTGTTGTCGGAGTCCCTCGTAGTAGAACGTTCTTCAGGGAGGCCTTCACCAGCGCCCTCACTACCAACAGACTCCCCAGCACCCGCTCCTCGCCTGGGCAGATGCACCCCGTCCGGACTTCCAGTGTCGGTGATGTTGGGAGGTAAAATTGTGTGGTTGCCAACCATGCCTATGTGGATCTCGTTGTATAGCGCCCTCTCCATCCGGAACTTGAAGTTGTGCTCCTTCCTTTCTTCATTCGATAGCCGGAAGAAATCTGGTCGGCCACTCGCATTCTGAAACCTCTGTATCTTCTTGTAGTTTTGGAAGATATTGTCCCACTTCTTCATGCAGTYGTCCRCGTCTTTCGGCCTCCCCGCRTTCGMCATGCGCTTGGCAATATCTTCCCACTTCCACTCCTTGATCCACATCCGCCCGTAATTGTGACCGAGACCGGCGAGGTGCATCTCTTGCTCCCGCTTGCATCTCACCAGTTGGATTTGCTCTTCCGGGGACCAGTACGTCGCAGACTTCCCGCCATCATCGCTAACGCCACCTTTGCCCCCACAGCCAACGGATCGACCACGAAGAGCACCCCTGCTGCGTCCTCTCCCCCTCCCGCTCGTCTTCCCCAAAGGCCGAATAGGAATGTCGTCGTCGTCGTCCCTTGCCTCCACGTCTTCCCCGAATCGCCCGTCTGCATCGTCATCGCCACCATCGCTGTGTGCCTGCATGTTCGACACTCCTTGTGTGATGTTCTCCACACTGGGTGTTGGACGCACCACTGGTCTGCATGTGTCGTCGTCCCTGAGGTCGGGTTGGGTCGGCGTTGTGCTTTTGGGCATCGAATGAAGTGTACCGCCGATGCGCAGGGACCCTAGTGCGACTCCATTGCGTTCGGGGCAGGTGCTTGTCAATCGGTCGGCGGACTGTGCACTCGATCCATGTTGTCGGCCTGCTGACGATGGCCTGACACCGCCACAAACGGACACTCCGCCACGAAGTGTGGACTGCTTTGTATGCCGGCTTCCAGATTGTTGAACGCCACGTGGTGAAGGATCGACGTCCATGATGAACGTGTGGCTCGCCTCCCTACCGCCGCCAGAAGACAACCCGAACCGGAGATCAACTCCCCCGTCATCGTCGTCTCCCAATCCCTGCTGCAGGAGTGTCGTGTACTCGCCGCGTCCGTTGCTTACCGACCCGCCTGCGAGCACCGTCTGCGACAATAGGTGCGTCGACCCGCTGCCGAGAGGAAACGTTGGAAGTTCATCCCCCTCCGGCTCCTCATCCGAGGGAGGCAGCGGCGTCTCCCACAACGGCAGATGGTTGTACATGGAGGGGTCGTACCACCTTGAAGGCTACGTTGTCGGAGGTCTTCTTCCGCCCTCAGCCGCAAGCGGAACAGCGCGTACCTGCACACCGCCTTTCGTTGACGCCCTGCGCTTGCGATATTGCTTCCACGGCCCGCACGACAAGCACACGTGGAGGAAGACGACAAACAGGAAGACGACGACAACGAGAAGCAGCAGAGGCAATCTTGACGTCGACAGGTGACCTTGCACATGACGTCGTGCTGAACTTTCTCCTCACAAGCCTGCGGACAAGGCCGCTGGGCCTTCATATGCCGTCGACCGCCAGCGAAGACGACAAACGATGCCACCTGCGATTCAAAAAGTGACCGTTGGCACTCACAATAGCCCACGTGTGTCGTCGTGCACACATCAGGAGACTCTTCCGTTGCTCACACCCGAGCCAACGGTTCTCAACGACCGTGAGCCAGGCCACGCTTCGCCCACCACGCTCCACCCCACCGGCCAACGGCTACCGGTGGGGGCCGTTGTCGTCGTCGACCAGTAAGAAACCTACGATGTCCGACGGACCTCTCCTGGACCAGCACCTCCGTGTCGATAGTGCCATTCTCGCGATGCGACCACTCTGTGAAACGCGGGAATCCTAAATTTTTCAGTAGGTCCGGGGCTACTGGAAAATTTAGGACGATTTGGTTGGGGAATCCTAAATCTTTTAGGACGAGTCCTAACGCCGTTTTCACATTTTCAATTCCCGCATCCGATTTAGGATTGCGTGCAACCAAGACGCAATCCTAAAAACAATAACTTCTAGGAGTGTCTAACGAGACCCTGATTCCCAAAATTATTTAGGAAACCCATCAATACCCGGGGTCTTATCCTCTTTCATTTGAAGCAAGGTTGTCCAGATTTCCTCTTTTGAAATTGGTCTCTCTAGTGAGTCTTTTTGTTTCTGTGAAAGGGTTTTCATTAGGGGAATCAAAAAGTCAACTATCTCCTTACGATCTTCAATCATATCCCGAGAGTTTTTGGCTGATGTGAAAATACCTTTGGAGAAATCATAGGTTGTTGTAAGACTACCCGTTGAGAAAATGAGATTATCGATATGGGTAGGAATGGTGGGGTCTATCAACCTTTCTATAACTGGTCTCCTAACCCGAGATTTGACCATAACGAAGAAAGTAGTATCCATTTGTTTTTCAGTTTGATACTTAGTTAGTTTTCCTCTAATAAGATACACTTGCCAACGATGTTGTGCAAAGGAAAAAAGTTGATCCCTTGAGTTACTGATATCGGTTGGTTGTTGTTGACTAAACTATGGATCCTGAAGCTCATAATGCAAAATTTGCTCTTGAATTTGTATCTCTTTTTTATATCTGTCCTTTGCCAGTAGTTTTAAAGAATCCTGACATTTACGAGCCACAGGGGCTAAACCATTATTAAACAATTCAATAGGAGAATCATGTCGAGGCTTAGTTGATTGCCAGAATTTCCATACATCTTGCACAAACTGTCTGTATCGAGGAATAGACAGAAGAGACGTATTCGACTTATAAAACCCTTTTCCCTGATCCGATTTTTTACGAAATGACAATAGTATCGCACACATTTTGTGATCCGCTCCAGGCCAAGGACTTTAAGGGAAGATAACTGCTCCCTGAACAACCCTTTTTAGGTCTTCTGAAAGTAAGATCAAGTCTATGAGTGACCTAGATATGATTGCGGAACCCCCATGACGTATACACGTGAAAATCCGTTCCTGAGGATAGAGACGTCTAAAAGAATCAAAAAGACCCTCAGACTCACATAATCTAGTAATTATATTCTCATCTTCCTCAATATACCCAGGACAGGGAGCGGGGATCTTCCATCTATCCAGCCCCCTATCAGGAGCTGCATCGAAATCCCCAACCATGATTAGAGGTATCCCATCAGGTATATGATTACAAATTGCTTGGAAAAAAGTAACTCTTTCTTGCACATCATTTGACCCATAAGTATTCATTACACCGACTTTCTCTCTCTCTTTCCAACATCACTAGAGCTACAATTCATCTCCCTTGTTCTTTCTCTACGTCCCAATACACAATTTCATCCCTAGATTGCCTAGGAACCCAAAATGTCACCCCTCCTGAGCCGCTTCTTTGCGCATAGGAACACACTTTCTGAAATGGCAAAATCAGATTGTGAGCTCTAGTGTGTGTTGGGATGTCCATGAGGTGTGTTTCCTCGATGCAAATCATATCTGGCCATGATTTACCCCCCACCCCTCTAAGTTGCTTCATGATGGAGCGACGTTTCTCTGCGTCTGTTGTCGCCAACCCATTCACATTAATTTAAGAGAACGAAGATCCAAATCTGCAGCACGTGTTGCACGACGTGAAGAAGGATTCTTATCAAATAATATTTCTAATGCATCAATTTTACTTCCTCCTTTAGCAGAGAGAGCGATAGAGAGATTATAGACGAATCCAGTTAATGCTTTCTAATTTCGATGTCGACTGCAAAAATCATTTAGGCAAAATGATACGCAAAAAAGAAGCCACATCCGAGATGGACCTCTCTGAGTTGGCCTTGATCTTCAACATTTGAATATCCAGCAAGGCCGAGTGAGAATATCATTTAAGACCCGCTTCCTTATTGTCATCAAAACGCACAAATGTATCCCTGACAAAAAATGCTTTATCCTCTGTATTAGTAAAACTGGCCTGAGGACCTGGGTCATAATTTTTTGCCAGAAAGTCACGCATGTCTCTTCCACATATGTGGTCCATCCCTGAAGTGTCACTCCCCCATATTGGTCATTGCCTATAGGAGAGAGTCAAACCTCCCACCGCCCTCTTTTTTTTCCGGACTGGTATGATCAGGTTCCCTTTAGGTGGGATCATGCAGTTGAGGTGACCCTTTTCCAATGTATGTCTGAGTTTCTGTCGTTTGCCTGTTTCCTGTTTCCAATGAAGGGAGGCGACTTCGACTGCTGCAGATTCTCAGTGCTCTCTGGATGGTCCCCAATGCTTTCTACATCTTTTTACCACTCATGCCCCCACAAGCTACCTGTGATGCCTGAGACTGATCTGCACTCATCGTGGTGCTCCTCATTCCCCCATCCCCACCTGCTTCAATTTTGCTGTCAACCAGTGTCTGTGATGCAGGCTGTGTAACTGCCCCATAAGGAATAACTTCATTTGAGGGGGGAGCAAAGGGAGGGGAGGGGGGAGTAAATAGTTTCAGAACAATAGACAACAATCGTTGACTCACCACCGTCCACCGAGCTCCTTCTGGAAGCCCATGCTGAATAGCTTTCCTTAGACTAGGACTACTATTCAGAATATCGAGAAGTTGAATATAAGAAAGATCCCAAAATTCAGGGGACGTTGTACCAAACTTGTTCTTCAACCTCATAAGCATCCAATCTGCTAGCTTACACGTTTTTTGCTCATCAGTCAACTGACTCTGCTCGGATGCACCCATGTTTGACGTTCCCTTGTTGGAGGAAGGTGAGGGATCACTCGCATGTTCCATAAGTACTTCTTGGCCCTCAAATATGTAATCAATTTCTATAGGGGCCGATCCAAATGCCTCCTGAAACGGATCCTGATCAAATATCTGAGAGGAGCTCACATGTCCCTTGTACGCCCTGTCTGCCTTGTCTGCCCTTGGCAAACCCACATTACTTAGTCTCATAGTTAATAACAAATTATATGAGTAGTTTGACCCCTGACCTATCTGATCTGCATTTAACCCTTTTCGATCCTGCTGTGTGTCTAGGAGAAGGGGTAAATTAGTGTCAACTGTTGGCTTCGAAAAAGTTTTTTTTTTCATTTCCTTTGTTGGTCATGGATATTATCTTTTTTTTTTTTTCCTTTTGTGATGTGTTTTTTTTTTGCTTTTAGTTTTATATTTTTCCTTATTACAGATTGATGTGGCAGGTTTCTTCTATCTGGTTGTGCATCTTCCATTTCAACGGAAGGAACCTGCTCCGTCTGTGTATTCTGATTATCTGAGATATCAGTAATGGCGAGCATCCCGAAATGAGAGTTTGATTTTTCTGATTTTTCTGTTACCACAGTTCCTTCTATTGTTCCTTCTGCTGTTCTCAATTTTGTTTCATCCCCCATCTGATGATTTACATATTGTTGTGGTTGACGACCCATACATGATGTGTCCTTGGGCCTCCATTGCAGTTGTCCAGCTGGACTCTGCTTATATGGAACATCCCTGGTCTCTCTCTACACTCCAAGGGTACCATGTGCCTCTACCGGCTGCATAGTCTGATCACCCTTGTTTTCTTTGCTCTTTGTTGCCGTAGAAAGAATCTTGATGGTAACCTCTGTTGGTGTCTAGGAATCCGGTGGCTTGGTGTCCCAATGGGGGTCCCCTTGACTTTCTCAAGTCCACCCTTTGTTCTCCCCTCCCCTCGCCGTACCCTCAATGAAGACCCAGCCCTCATGACCTGGATCCACAGTTCTCCATAGAGTATTACGGAGAGGATCTCGAATCAGTCTCCCCGTAACTCTGTTTTTTCGGGCGGGATTCTGAGAACAGCTTGTATCTGTGCACAAATGACCATATGCCTTACACCTAAAGCACCATGGTCGTAGTTTATGTGCAGTATGAAAGTGAAACTCTTTACCACCCGCCCTGTATGGAATGACATCATCCATAATAAACGGTTGATTGGATGAGTGGTTCAAAGCCAACATTAAATAGTCATCTCTACAAGTCGCATATGCCGGGAGAGGGTCGATAAAGTCCACAATCTCATGTGTCGGTCCAAAATCAAAGATGAACGCTGCGTGAATCTCTATAAGAATATGTTTAAACTCAACTCAATAATGTTCTTCCATCAGTTGTGCACGCCGCTCATCTGGTTTTTGTCGTATTGGCGACCATGGGTATATTCTGACTTCTGACTTGTCACAACGTAATTTTTTCCACTGTTCGATTGTTTGCTTGTTCGTCACATGCATGCATAACACTGTAAATATTGTAGAATTTACCGGTTGAATGAGAAAATCTTCAACCGCTGCTTCCTGACTTCCTTTGAAATACGGAACCTTATTATTAATCCATTTAACTTTATCGTTCGTTGACTTATACGACGCGTGATC